TATAGAGAGAGAGAGAGAGAGAGAGAGAGAGAGAGAGAGAGAGATTATTGCGAATTCCCTTAACTAAACGTAAGACAAAGTATAGATCATCTTTTAAATTATTAATGTCACTTAATCTCTAGTGAATAAATTTTTCTAATTGATGAGACGCCGATTAGACATTTGATATTTTAATTTACGTGACACGCCAATTCTCTCCCAACTTTATATTGTTTTAAAAAAGTGTGTAGAATGACCGAGATGACGGTCAATTAGATAGTAGAATTTATAGAAATGAATAGGCAGAGCGTTGAGAGTACATTTTTATTTCTTAATCCCAAACAAAAAATAATATATTTGAGATGATATCGAAATAATTAAACTTGAAAAAAATGATGTTTAAATAGAATAAATATATTATTAAATTTTAAAAATCAAATAAACAATATTTGAGATATCAATCGTTGGTATAAATATCCGAAACTATATTATTTTTTTAAATTTACGACTAAGTAAAATAATATAATCTACATTATTTTTTTTTAGATAAAATATATTAAGAATTCATGTGTAAGCTGTAACCCTCGACACTTTTTTGTGGAAAAAAATTTATCATCATGAATTTCGAGAATCATGACTCACAAATAATGATTAATACTCAAATATATGTTTATATAATAAAATAATGAAATGTGTTTTATTTATTTTTATGATGATAGTTGTTTGTAATAGTTTATATATATGTTTTTAATTATACTCGCTTCTAGCGAAAACAAATTTCAAAATCCACTAACATCTTTAAAATTAAGTAAAACCTATAAACTTCTGTCCATCATATAATGTTAACCAAAAATTCAAAAATTATATATTTAAAAAAGTGACAAAATTCAGAAAGGACTCAAGTATTTTTATAAGTTTAGAGCCAATAATAATTTACGTCATTCAAAGAGTGATCCAAAAGTACATTCAACAATATCACATATTCTTCAGTTTTTTTTTATACACAATCTCATAGGCAATTCAATTTTAAAATAAATATAAGTTATTTTTAAAAAATAAAATGGAATAAAACTCGTAAAATATAACAATTTCAGTTATAAATATTATAATATTATCATATTGAATTAAAAATAACTATTCATTCAGGGCCAGTTGAACGTCAGACTGTATGTTTACGTAGTTTGTACGATGTTTTCTCTAAACAATCGAACGGTCAAAATATCCCAAGCTCTCCATGGTGAGCCGTTGATCTCATGCCACGTGTCAATCCCTGATTGCGGGCCCGTGTGGAACCTATCGCACGTGGAAACGAGTCCTTGTGTCGAAATAAATCAAATGGACCCGTTCCTTGAAATTCGGGTCAAGTCATTTTTTTTTTCAGATTCTAACATCTTTTTTTTCCACGTCGGACTCATCATCGCATTTAAATATTACGTTTTTTAATTTTCATTTCACCTATAACCCAACATCATCCTCGTCAATATCTTGGGTTTGTCCCAAATTCCTGTGGATCGGATTTACACGTGGCAATAAACTCAGATAAAAATATTTTGGGCTGGAATCGGCCCATATATCTTAAATAAGGCCCAATAAGACGGCAACATTATTAGTTGTTGACGAATGGTTGAATTGTTCATCCCCCAAGTGAAATCTACCGGCAGAAATTATCGGGGAAGTTCCGGTATCGTCTTTGCCCGATCTTCGATGTCGACTCCACCGTCTTCGTCCTCTTCTTCGGCGGCGCAGTACACGTACGCCGCAAATTCGTACTACTCTTCGGCGTATCAACCGCCGCAGCCCTATGTGGCGCCTCCTGCGCCGGCGGCAATCCCCGGAGCCACGGTTTACCCGCAGCCGGTGGGCCCTGTTCCCGCAGTTTATTCTTTTCCTCAGTACCAGCAGGTTAGTGGGTCTGAGACTTGAAATATTGCGAATTGGTGTGTGCATTTTTGGGAATTTGCGGTTGTGTTGTTGGATTTGGGAATTAGGGTTTTGAGGGTTTTTTTTTATTGAAAATTTTGTTTCTTTTGGTGATCAAGCATGGATCTGTATGTTTTAAGAATCCTGTGCTTTGAATTTAGGTTTTGTTGTTGGAATTGTAGTTTCATTTAGCTGTGGATGATGCCCTTGTGGAAAAGGGAAAACTTGGGTATGCTGCCCCTGCCCTTGTGGTTTAAGCTAAATCAACAGATTTGGCGGAAGCGAAACTAAAATGAAAGTGTCGGTATAGGTAGTTTAAGTGGGAGTCAATGGGCCTTTCAATTTTAGAAACTCTTTGATCATCATATAAAAGACAACCTTGGCTGTTCTGGAACGCTTGTTTCGTTTGCATCATCTTTGTTTGTTTTGTTAGATTCCTCAAGGTAGAGTCTGTAGACAGATACCTTCATCGGGTTTGATTTTGTAGTATACATGAACAGGCACAGCAGTTGTTCCAGAGGGATGCACAGACCATCACACCAGAAGCCCTTGAGAACGTGAAAGCGGCTCTAGCAAGTAGCGAAACTGAACACAAAGCAGAAACCAAAAAGAGAGCTATCCCCCGAAAAGCTGCCGGGCAGTCTTGGGAGGATCCTACACTCTCAGAGTGGCCAGAAAGTAGGAAATCATATTTTCTCATTTTTTTTATTGTACTGTTTTTCTTTTAGTTTTCAGATTGAACCATATTTCTCTGTTTGAGGTGAAGGTCTAACGAGTTTTGGAGTTTGGCAGATGACTACCGCTTGTTCTGTGGTGATCTTGGCAATGAGGTGAACGACGATGTTCTTTCGAAGGCTTTTTCTCGGTTCCCTTCTTTCAACATGGCAAAAGTAAGTGAATCTGGCCCCCGCCCCGCTTATGTGATGATACGCAATTACACATGCATTACTTTTTCATGTGGACATTTTAGTCTGATGTCCTTTCTTGATTTCATTTGCTAAAGTGTGTGAGGGTTTTGCTCCTACATTCGGTTTATGTCATTTCGCATTGATTTGTTTCTTTTTATTTCGGCTCAAGAGGTAAAATTTAAGGACCCAAAAATTCTAAACGTTTGAATCTCTGGGTCTTTTCAGTTGAATTTATTGTGTTAGAAACTTTTAGTTATGATGAAGAAGAAGAAGCTCATGAATTCCAGAAAGTTTCCTTTTCCTCCTGCTATTATTGATAGTTAAATTTTAAGACCATCTTGCTCGAGACTAGTCTTATCTATTATTGATAGTGAGCTTCTGAATATCCACTTATAGTTCATCATTTGGGAAAAGTTTACCATCTTGCTCGAGACTTGTCTTTCAGCCTGCATAGCTTATAACTTTACGCCTCTTTCTGCCACTGCCTCTGTTTCTCCTGTTGCATTGTGATATATTTTCTCTTTCTTCTCTGTGATCCCAATGTTGCTATTGTTTACTGAAAGGTTATCAGAGATAAAAGGACAGGCAAAACTAAGGGATACGGGTTCGTTAGTTTCTCCAATATTGCTGATCTTGCTGCCGCGCTTAAAGAAATGAACGGTAAGGATCTCATATCTCTACAACTCTATCTAGTTGACCCCCTTGATCCTTTTTTCCCCTCTATAAGTTACTGTTGATGTTGATTCAATTTGATCCCATTGATTTTTACTGTTAAATTCAGAACTTCGATATGGACTATCGTTCTGTTTGGCCCGTTCTATTTCATTGGTATATCTGTATGATATTATCAGTATCTTATCTTCGTTTGGGACCATCTGTAATGGTGATTCGGATGAATAATCAATCATCCGTATCGATCCGGCTTTTTTTCAGGTAAGTATGTCGGAAACCGTCCAATCAAGCTGCGGAAAAGCAACTGGAGAGAAAGGACAGACTATGATGCAGTGGGAAGACAGAAGGTTTGTAGTGTGCTTTTATATATAAGCAAATCTTCTTTGTTTGTTGTCAGCAATCAGAATTTGGCCAGTGAAGAGGGTGAAGCTAAAGCTTTGACTTTTTTCTTCTCCCCTCTCAGCATCACAGCCATAAGAAAGCTAAGCAGCCGAAGAAGAGCATTCTTCACAAGTGACGATGAACCAACACAAGAGAAGTGAAGCATCTTCTTTTACTTCATAGTTTCCTGTTTTTTTTTTTTGGGAGAAAAATTTGGTACCTTGGCATATTCAGTACTCGCCCTTTCTGGAAAAATACATTACTTGTTTGGGTACACAACATCACTATCGCCACCACCTTAATCCAAATTTATCCAAATTTATTTTTGGATCGACCGAATGGATTTATCGTTTCTATCTATTTTGAAATGATTTAGGTGGGTGATGATTATTATTATTTTTGGTTTGAATGAAAATCCATATTTGTCAATATATATATATATATATATATATATATATATATATTATGTGT